GGGGGCCATAGCGTTGGTGCAGAACCCCCTCAGCTCAGGTCGCACGAAACACATCGACGTGAGGTATAATTTCATCCGCGGATTGTTTAGGTCGGGGGATATTTGGGTCAAGTTCGTTCCGACAACGGAGCAACACGCGGACCTCCTAACCAAGGCCCTTAGCAGAGCTAGTCTGCAGTACCACCGGGTTGATGAATTTGGCGGAGTAGCTGTAGCAGTTTCTCGCACTTGGGAAAGGTCATGTTTTCCATGCGGGGAAAGGCGCATAACTGTTGCGGTCTGTGTACCAATGGCAGGAGCAGGGGGCGTTGGGAGACCATCGTCAGGGGGAACGTAGTTCCTCGCGTTCTTGTCTTCGCTCGGCCTTTCTAATAAGTGCGACCGTCGTGGTCCGCTGTGACAGCGACGGTTTTTGTGGTGGTAGTTTTTTTTCGGGGGGGGTTGCCCGGACGCGGGGTTTCCCCTCCATATATTACCATGTTGGTATGTTCTGATGTATCCAGGGGCGTTCTTGCCCCATTGATGGTTAGTCACTTGCGTGAAGAACCAGCGAGGGTCTTCGTGGGTCTGCGAACGTTGGTGTTGGATACATGTGCTGGATGATTTGGTGTCACGCAGACTGGTAAGACTGCCGTTTGGTAGGTGGTACCGCGATGATTCACGGGGCCCCTCCTTGCTGTGGGAGCCGCTCTTTGACTCTTCCCTCTTTCGTCCGTGTGAAGGACGGTCGTCTACCTCTCGTGAAGTTTTTTCATCATCAAAACAATCTCACCCGAAAAATAAGTGGCGTAAACAAGTCTTCCTGGCCTCGACTACTCTGTCGCCGACATTGTGACTCGATGTGGTTTATCTACCACGTTGGCTCACAACCTGTTGGGCGAATATGACTAACGCCGTGCAGCGAGGGAAGCTGTCCTCTCGAGCTGCTGGCGTTGTTCATGCGAGGTGTTGGTAGGGTAAACACAGAGTGATATATTTTCCACACTCAGACGCCCAAGCTGTCTTTACCTGACGGTTACAGACTTGGAAACACGCCTTCACAATACTGCACGAAACCCATGCAGTAGAATCAGTCGTTCTTGTACACAAATACTCCAACAAGAACCATAGCGACACAAGTACTTAGACCCAGATTTATGGGAACAAAATCTTGTGGAAAAATCTTGATCTTGGCCAAGATCTACCAGATCCTGAGGCGGGCTATCAAATCTTACCTGGGTGGGGCGAGATCACCAAGGTCAATCAACCTAATCGTCTATAACGCCATGAAATCTGCATGTGGCACTCTCGCAAGGACCTCTAACGCACCCTGGTGTCGCTGCTGTGTCGACGACAAGGGCGCCAACAGCGGATGAAAACGACGAGGGCGCGCGAGAAAAATGCGTATTTGCCGTGGCTCGATACACGTGCGTCATCACCAGGCTGTGGAGGGACCCTTCAAAGAGTAGTCTACTTTGAAGAAGAAAAAACGAGGAGGGACTTCCTGCCAATACAGCTCTATGATGTGCGAAACTTATATCTCTTCATCGAATCACCCCGCACCCAATCCGTTTGCACCCGAGCCAGATCCGTGAGTGCAGATGACAGCACCGGCGGTTTGACCTCGTTACGCCAGCTACGTGGTGAGATACGTCCACGGGTGTCATCGCCTTCGGGTTGTTGTTGCTGTTGTGCGACAAGAGCTATCCCGCAAACCTAGGTACCACCCCCCCGGCAAATTTTGAAACATTTCTTCATGTTGTATTAGTGTTGTTCATTGTAATAAAATGCGTTCAATAGTGCAACTCAAACCTGTTTAACCTGTCGTACACAGACGAAACACAGCAGCGGTAGTGTGAAACTTTAACGCGCCTTACATGCCTGCGCTAAAGTGTTGTTATTGGAGAAGCCACATGACATCGTCGAATCAAGTTTCAGTGACTCTCAAAGCCCGGAGTGGCATCACGCCTTGCCGGAACCTGCGGTAGACTATACGTACGTCATGTATGTAGGAGCTCGCAAGTAAGCTGGGAGTGTTCCAATCGCCTACCGCTTCGCCCATGACTTTCCGACATTCATTCTCGAACGCACAACTTCCAACACCAACCAACACACGAATGCCGTTTTCGGCGTGAGTTTAGCCGCGTCGAACGTACATCCAGCCCCTGTTGTTCCTTCTCTCCTTGTTAGTCTCCTCCTCCTCCTCCTCTCCCCGTCCTTCTCGTCTTCTCCCCCTTACCCCGACCCCTACCCCCCTCCCAGAAAGGCTCGCAGCCGCCGATGTTCGGACCCTGATCTTGACCACCAGAAGGTATTCGAGGATACCAACTAGACCGGCATTCTAGAATTTCCACGTTCTCCTCCCAAATACAGCAGAGTAAACCAAGACGGCAGCCTCTTCCCTACCCCCACCCTCACGTTCACGCCCATCAAACACGAAAATATAAACACGCGACTGACCAGCCCCGCCCCACCCCAAAAAACAACAGCGACCAATAGCCCGCGCATGTATCAGCACGTGAAAGGCATACAATCTTTTCAGCCTGCATTGGTCACGTTGCGCTTCGTGCTTAGACTATGGTTTGGTCATTTGTCAGGCATTTAGGGATAAAACGGCAGTCGTCGTCCGTAGTCTCCCACGTTTACATGTACGACAAGTCAAGAGAGATGGCTGCCACACGAACATGCCTGTTCGTAGATATCACCAGTGCAAGCTGCAGGTTGAGGCCAGGACATACGAACGTTTTTCCCGATTCCCGTAAATACAACGAACGAGACAAGAAAGGTTGTCGGGGGAAATCTGTTAAGGGGCGGACACGTCCCACGCAGAGTAAACGAAGGCAAACACAAAGAATACGCGCAGATGGCCAAAACAACTACCGGTCTACAGTAGTCTAGACTCTACTCGTATTTGCGATTTTTCGTTCTTCGTGGTTTCATGACACTAGGGAAGAGGAGGGAGAGAGGGAAGGATAGATAGGGCCCTTCGATCGACGCTCAATGAGGTGCCGACGTTCAAGCTTTAGCCGCCGCCGCCGCCGCCATTGCTCACCCCCGACCCCACGCGTCCCGCCGCCCGCACGCCCGGTTGTTCATCGTCCGCGTTGTTTCCACATAGCGTTGCAAGTCTCTTTATACGATGTCGTTTTCCTGAGCCCAAGTTTTCACCGCGCCGGTAAGGGGCGGGGACTTCGTCGCACCCCCGTCAATGTACTCCTTCTGCTCGGCCCGAGACAGGTTTGAAAAGCCGGACACCCAGCCTCTGCATCTGACCGCGCCGCATTGGCAGTCGAAGGGACACGACATGTCGATCTCCATGGCATTATAGTCGATCGTCAGCAATTCGTTCGGCCGGATTCGGGGCGCCCTGACCGTCACACGCAGGTACGGTTGTTCCTGCGGATTGCAGAAGGTGTTCATTGCATGCGCGCGGCGGTTATTGCTGCAGTACTTTTCGAGGGTCGAGCACTTTAGGATTTCAATAACCCCTTTTCTGATCCCAATAGGGTTTGGATTTGCCCATGACTTCCATCCAACCCAGTGGTCCTGAGTAGTGCGGGGGAATTCAAGAACGATGTATCACCCGTACGACTCCGTGAGATGCCACGTCGGGTGTTGGCATCTTGTTCTCATGCCGTCACCGAGATATGCGAGCGGGAACGACGTCCCGCGGAGATATGACCCGACAGGCAGATGCATTTCGAAATGAAGATTCCATGTAGATGCCTCTCCTGCCAAACACGTCATACCCTCACCGACCTATGTATGTCGAATATCTATCAGACATGCGCCTATATGCTGTGCTACGCTTGGCTATAGCCATGGGCTGACATTTGGGGTGGTCAGCAAAGGCTGGGTGGGAAAGGGTGCACGTGTGAGTTCGACGTGTCTGGGATGCTTCCTCACCGCCGCGTCCACCACCTCCAGCTGACAGTTGGGCTCGCAGGAATGATTCAGGAACATGAGGTCACACCTGGCCTCCAGGTGTCGCTCTTTGCTGACCTGCACGCTGTGCCGCGTGCTCACGCCCGTGACCAAGCCCTCCACTCGAGCGAAGATCGCCTGGTTCGCCTCCAGCACGCGTGCCGCGACGAGGAACTTCTCCGTCCCGTCCTTTACAACGGTGAAATCGAGGCTGCTGCTGCTGCTGCTGCTGCTGCTGCTGCTGCTGCTGCTGCTGCTGCTGCTCCTGCTGCTGAAGCCCACGGGGAACGGGGCTAACGTGTTGCCCTTGCCGCCTATTCCGCCGCCCCTCTCGCCGCTGACCATGACTGCAACATCGCCAGCAACGTAATCGTTGTTCGGGCCGGCAAGCGAAGAGAGCCAAGCACCCCGATACGTGCTCCAGGCCGTGCTTGAAGATGTCACCGGTGACTTGGGAACCATTGACGCGCCGCCGACCCTAGTCGACGGCGGAGGTCCTCCGTGCTCCTCCCCTCCCGGCCGAGTAGCGAGGTCGTCCGTGAAGAGAAGACGGTTTCGAGAGGATGTCAGTGCCCTAATCAAGGAGCCGCTGGCTTGCCACCCGGTGGGGCATCGGCGGACTAAAGTGAGGGTGTGCATCGCTATCCCCGCTACCCACCTTGTCAAGCTGTGGCGCTTATTGCAAACTGCAGTCGTCGAATCCGTCCGTGGAAGCAGCGTGAGTCGCTGGGGCGAAAGGCTACCGCTGCACAATGCATGAGAACGCGAGCATGGGGGGCGCGCTAAGGGGGCGTCCTCAGTTCAAGCTGTCGACAACAACGCGATTCAAGAAGAGCCGATCTCGACCCAAAACCGTGCTTGCGCGCCGGACAAGTGACGAGAGGGGTGAAGAGAGCAAAATGTGTACAGCGAAAGGGATGACTAAAGTAGCTCTCTCCCGCAACGAAGAACCGCACCCATATGTAGCTGAATCATTTGACTCTTTGTAGACCACGCCAAGGCGCTGCTCCCCCCAGTGATACCTCGCAGACTTCTGGCAGTTGGGATGTGTGTTCAAATCGTGGCGCAGTCACATGAACTGTGATTGTCGCTCACGCTACGCCCAAGTCAAGTGTGTGGCAACTGATTGACGGTTGTGTACACACTCATCAAGTCCACGGTCGACGAGGGCACGGCAAAAACTTGTCGCTTCTCGCGCCAAAGGTTCAAGTGAGCACGTAAGCACTACATGAGGCACATGCACGGGTTACCATGTCCACGACTTCGACTTATCCCAAGCGAGTCGCACGAGTCCTGGGTTTTATATGCGTTTGTACGCGGAAATGATTGGAAGTTTCTACCCGCCCAAGGAAGATCCCGCAGCAAGAAGTATCAAACGTCGGGTCGAGGCTCAACTTCTTTCGTCGCCACTGTCGAGCACCTATGAACATATAGAATGTAATGCAGGATCCACGGCATTAACAATGTCCACACCCTTCGTTCAAGTTGTTGGGAAATGATTAACCTCTTTTCTTGACAAAGCGTGGTGTGCCTAAACTGCGGCCCGTAGTGCACGCAGATCCTGGAACACAATATATCGTACAATACCTCGTAGCACCTATTCTCTTCCTCTTTCGTCGGAGCAGGCGGTAGTGAGCGTGTCTCCGTTGGGAGATTTTGGCAACCTACATTTTTTTACATAGTGTTCAAGCCTCCAAGGAAGTCAAGATAGGTTTCCAGGAAGTTGTACAGGTATTGGTCTCCACAAAAAATTGCACAGCTATGGGGCTTCCATTGAAGCTATCTTGAAGGTTTTCGTTTATTTCTGGCGCCAGCTGTCATGACGCTTCCATGGAAGCTTGTACAACTTCCATGGAAGTGATGATGGGCTTCCACATGATAAGTCGGGGTAAAGAACACTGTTTTCTTTCGTGCACAAAATCGCAAAGACCTTTACCAGCACTTCCGAAGTCAAAGTCGACTAGCGCAACCATATCCATGCCACTTCGACGGAAGTGATTTCACTTCCCAACGATTCAAGCTACCATGGAATATATACTCGACTAGCGCATGAATGCCGATACGACTCTCATGGAAGAAATATTGTTGCTTGCTTGGAGCTAGATACGTCTGTCAAATACTGTGGGACATTGGGGGCGTTTTCCTCGCATACCGTTCGCCCCGGTGACGTATCAAGTGGTCCATCTCGTCAACCTAGTTGAAGCATATGAGAGTTCGATTCTCTCGCAGAAGCGAAAAAATACAGTATCTGTACGTCGCAGTGGGAAATAATTGATTCGTGGGTATGTACCGACTTCGACTTCACTGAAGGCGAAGGGACGGTAGAATCTTTCTCGCCATGAACCTTAGGCAAGCACCGCAGGAGTAAAAAATAATGTCTCCGACCTTCTCCTTTGTGAACCCGACTGACGCGCCAAACTTATAAACCGAAACGTGTGTAGAGTGACGCCAGAATAGACGAGCTACATGCCGCCGAAGTAGGAGCATCAAACAAAAGTTTCATCGCGGGTGACAAAAGATGAATATAAAACGCAGGCAGCAGGACTAGCCCACAGCTGGCTGCCAGCTGCCAGCTGTGATGTTTCCCAAGCCCGAGCAGCTCACTCAGGCGTCTTTTGGACTCGAAGAACAGAGTGAACCTCAACGAACCCAAAAAAGAGAATTACCAATCGGCGTACGGTCGTAGTGTGCTGATTTCATTCCAAGACTTAACATCTTACCCAAGGCGTACACGAAGAAGTGTGACAAGACACCTACGTATGAAAAGAGGTATTATTAATCGGCGTTGTCGAATTCATTTCTTTTGAGCAAAGCTATGCCATGATAGATGCAGTGTGCCACACGACTGCTTCCCCACCTGATGAACAATTGAAGTGCCGTTTGTGGCTTGGCACGATAGCGTCACGAACGGGGATAGAAAGGTACTGCAGAGTACTGCTTGCTGTGTGCTGCTAAAGACTCCGAGATTCTCTCTCGGTACGATGCGGCGTCACGAACGCCGTGATAGATAGACAGTAGACAAATGTACTATTATATACTTGATACGAATGCTGCTGATGATGATGGTGATGATGGCTTTACGATGGTGCATCAAACGACCCAAGGGGCACGTACGGATTAACAGTCCCCCCAACATGATAACTGAGTAGCAGTTCCTTCCACCCTCAACATCGGCTTGACTCTCACTATCAGAGACAGCTTGATACAGGGCATCACTCGAAAGCACTGCTGCTGATGGTTACAAACCGAGTACCCAGCCTTGTGATACTGAGTAACAGCCTAGAAGTCAGGGCCGTTCGATGCTGAGTGGCATGAATAATAACATTGTTGTCGGGTGGATACAACGTATGGAACCTTGTCGTCCCGTGGGTTGCATAGGTTATCACACCCCCTGGACCGACTTCGGAGCTCGATTTCTCGGCAGGAAAAGAAGTGACGGTGCCGAAAACGGTGGCATCGGAACCGCCTTGCCGAGAGCTTTCCGAAAGCATATATTTTGCTTTCGGAATCCTCTTCGTTGTGGAGTAATCGAGCTTTGAAAATCGATCCAAGGGGAATGATGTCTTACGTAACTCACGGTACTGGGACTCAAGCTAGTCTCTTGATACTGAGTGTGATCCCAGGTGATGCTAAATACTGAGTGTGAAGCCATGCAACACTGAGTATGAAACCATGTGAGAATCAGGCCGTCTGACAACGAGAATCAGCTTTGCGATACTGAGAGTGGAAGTAAATGATACTGCACATCAGTGAGAGGGGGCTCATACTCCGTCATCATGGTGGGATTGATACTGAGTAGATAATCATGTGATACTGACGATCAAGCCCTCTGACAATGAGTATGAAGTCATGCGATGCGGAGCATCGACCCATGTGATACTGAGAGTGGAAGGAAATGGTACTGCGTATAAGGGAGGGGGCGTAAACATGGTTGGTTTGTAGCTGGGTATTTAGTCATGAGATACTGAGCATCAAGCCATGTGACACTGAGCACCAAACAACTGTAGAAACAGAGACGAAAGGAAACGATCATGAGTATCAGGGTGGGGGGGTGTACTCATAGTCGTGCATGCCGTTGTCGTTAGACCATTGACCTCGCATCCCTACAAAGCCGGGACGGAGCACGCCGGGTGCTCACCGGACTAGGTTCTCACATCACCACGCGCGAAACGCCGTGAGATATTCGGCGAGTCGCATGAAGGGTGCGCTGCATCCTGCTAAGGGTGTTCGGCATCTTGTGCTTACTTCCTTGCGTACGGATGACAGCTGCGTATGAATTAATTTATTTTCTGGTGCTTTCACTTCCAGAGACAGTTGTAAGCACTGTGTAACTGCCTCGAGGGTGCTTGACCATTTTAACACAACGTGGTGCGATCATCCCCCTTGCGCGGAGTGAGGGTTCTCCACCCCGCACAACATGATCTACTCGACCACCATTATGGTTGCCGCCAAAAAAAAAACCGGAGGTGAGAAAAAAAACGGTAACCTGGTTGCCGAGTTCACGAAGTGACTTGGCTTGTTTTACAACGTCGTTGCCAAGCGACGAAAACCCAATCCCGATCGCAAACACCGAGGGGGTGGTCAGGGTGGGGGGGCTGAAAACACGGTTGATTGATACTGTGTTTCACCAACATGTGATATTTAGAAACAAGGCTGCAGCCAGAATGGGAGGGCTGAGCCCGTAAAAAGGTGAGCCCCTAATAAGGTGAGATCCTAATGGTGAGTCCTTTCGCCATCACCACCACCGTTGGTAGCGATTTTCACGGTTTCGTGTTCAAAAACGCTTCATTCCATTCACCGGAAGTGTTTGATGGAACCGAGCACCACCTGTTGTTCTCAGGAAAGTTGCTGTCGGCCAGACACTACCAGCCGAAGCTGTCGGGCGCTTGTTCGCATCGCTGCAACGGCTGCCCATCCACAAGCAAAGCGTTCTTCCCTCTAACATCTGTCTGTAGTCGTGGCTGCTACCGTGTACATACCATGGCTGGTTGTCGGGGCACGGAAGCATCATGTCGCATTTGGTGCGTCTAGATAATCATGTTCCGAAACGTGCATACAGTTGGAGCGCACAATCGAGTTGCGGAAACACACACTCGCTTCATGGGCACAGACAGCCTCTTAATGTCTCTCACACATGTTGGCTGATGACATGTTTTTGTCGCCTTTGAAAAGGAACACACCCTCCCCCGTCCGCTACCCCCAATGTCGGTTGACCACAGGAACCCTGCATCCACTGCAACTGCCGAAATGATCGATGAGAGGATGACTTTGTTCTCTCCTCCTAGTAGCCCGACCCTCCCCCCTCCACGCCAACAAGACCTGCGGTGCCTTTCTTTGGCGTACGGCAGAAGGCAGTGGCGGAGAGCGGTAGTGGAGAGGCTGCCCCCTCCCTTGTCATAAACAGGATGACACTGACTGTAATGAGCCGCGGAGCGGCGAAGACGCGCCCGTTCCTTTCCCTCCGTACCAGTAGGAAATAAACAGGCTCCCACGAGGGAGAAAGCAGGCTCTCAATATCGGCCTGCTCCCAACGCGATGCAGGGGCCCCAAACTTGATTCCCAAGGGCCCTGAACAACCCTCCTTTACAACCCAACCAGGACCAATAGTGCATCGATTAACGATCTGTTGGTTTCTGCGGAGGAAGACAAAAAGGGAACTCTTCGTAACACCGGTTGGGTCGTGCTCCGACGACGGAGGGCCGTGCTACACAGCATTTGTGCCTAAAATTCGTAGGAGATTAGGCACCCCAACCCTTGGAGTTGCCGAGGAGGCGGAACACCATCTATCGGAGATCGATCCACGTATGCACACGTACGAGGCCAGCTTTTAGACAGAGGTGACACGCAGCTATGCCTTGCACGTCCAGAGAAACACACGCACACCCGCCTTGGCCCAGTCTCTCCCGCATGTGAAAAGCACAGCAGTGATAGCAAACCTGCCCCCTCTCTGGCTACACAAACACCAACGTGGTGCCGGCTCTCTGGCTGCACAACACAATCTCCCACGCTACTGATGGTTTTGATAGACTGTCCATGGTTCACCCATGGCCCATGAGCTTCCTAACGTGGGCACTTCAACCTAAAACTCGCCACCGGCATATCAACCTAGAACTAGGCCATCACCACATCAACCTAGAACTTAGTCACCCAGCGCCAACCTAGCACGTATGGTGTGGTCTTGGGGTTAGGTTTGGGGTTAGGGTTAGCGCTGGCGTTGTAGTGCTCGTTCCAGAGCCGATAATCTATTTTTAAGGAGTACACTGGTTCCGGCTGAAGGGCATTCAATGGCCGCCCATGGGCGCCACGTGAGGGCAGTTCCTCTAGAGGTCTCAGGTAAAAAAAACGTGAATTAATGATCACTTTCAGTCCGAAGGCATGACCACGCACATTTTTAAGCCGAACGCCCGAGACGCGAGAAATCATCCCATCGGCCGTTCTGCGCTACTTTGGAAGCCCTCCGCAAGTTTCAGCTTGATTGGTGCCTTCGGCGTTGACGTTCGGCTGTTTCGGGGATCGGCACTCTCAAGCACGAAAGACGAGCGTTCAGCAGGTGCTGCCGACACCAAATTGCTCCGATCTCGATCGAATTGTGCCCAAACGTTTCTTATCCTCCACCAAATTGGAGCCTCGTCCAATCTACAAATAGCTTGACGTGTCCTTCAACGCCGGAGTAGCTGGGTGTCTACCAATTTCGCCTGCCGACGAGAGGTTCGGGCCACACCGCAATCTCTTCAAATTATTTTACGGGCGCGCGCAACATGTTGCGGAACAAATTCCACACCAATCTACTATAGTTTATCCTGATCTCGACACGTATGCCCCGCGATAGACGATTCGCCACGAGGGAAACATATTGTTCTTCTACATACGCGCGCGCATAGAGGGGTGGAAGGAGAGATTTGTGCAGGTGTGCTTGTGTATCTCTCTTCCCGAACGGTCTTGCACTCTGGATACGTGCGAAGACATGGTATACACGCGATCCCTCAGTCCAAGACATGCGGGTTGTCACAGCTGTTGGTCTCCTTTTTGTAACCTCGTGCACGACTTCGAACGGTAACAACTGCGGTACTTCGAATCGCGAAAGACGATGCAGCCGCGCAAGCACAAATCAAGGCACATCTTTCTTGCAAACAACACCGCGGTAGTCGACAATGACGACCTCGTATACTTACCGCTCTCTTCTTGCCCTAATCGTCGTCGAAGAACTACTAACTACTTTTTGCGCGAATCTTCATCTCTTCACTGCTCTCTATACCACCATAAACAAAACGAAAATCTTTTGGAGGACCAGCACGGTTGCCCGAAGCAAGCTGCGATACCAATTTTGCAATCGTCGAAAGTGTGCGGAGCCCCATGAACAGGAGTCTGAACGATGCGCTCTTCTAGCAGTTGGAAATCTCAAAATAATCATTGTGGGTGAAAGAAGATAGATGGGAGTCATTGCTACTACAGTACCAGCCGCAGCCGCAGCACTACAGTAGTGCATTCGTGTCAGCTTTCATGCATGTGTCGGTGGCAGTGTTGGTAGGTGCCGATCGTTTGGCGGTACTGTCCGTAGAAGAGGGCAGCATGCGTTCCTCCGCTGTCGATGTGTAATACATCTAACTTCCTGCGGGAGTGGGTGGATGCACCAGTCTTGGAAGATCCGTTCAAATATAGACAACGCTCCGCATGTAGGGAATTGCACGATCTAGGCTGCTGCGTTGCTGCCTGGAGGAAACTTGTATCGCAACTCGCATAGAATCGCAGATAGACTACTGTCAGGTATTGAGTCGTACCCCGCGGCTCATTACCCCTACAGCTCATTCTGCGAAGCCAGCGTTGCAGGCAGAATCAACGGGATTTTGTTATGTGCAGGGGGGCGCTACGCCGTAGTGTTACTGTCTCGCCGGTGCTAAAGTGCTACTGGTAATGTCATGCAGTCAGCACGACCTCTAGTTTGAGATGCATAGCTGTAGTACGTGCGATTGGCCGGAGATCTAGACTAGTTTGATTTCTTTGGGTATGGCCCTACCCGTGCCAGAATGACTGAGGTAGAGATGGGCATGGATATGTGTGCTACTTTGGTATTCTCAGGTCATTCTGTGTTGTCTGTGTTCTCGCTACTACTCTAGGTACTCCTTTAGGAACGCCTTTGCCTTCAAAGGTACATTTTCGTCATCCTTGCGCTGTCCGAGTGTTAATCAGGGGCGCTGCAGGCTGGACGAACTTAGTTATTTCTGCTGAGTGGTGCCTATACGGTAACGATGAATCAAGGGCAAAATGGACAGAGCGATATTCGACATGAAGGCAACAGTAGCAACGTGTCGTGCTGTGCCACAATATTCGTGTGTAAGCGCGTTGAACGTGGCAGACATGCACATGTCGGCAACATTCCGCCCCGTCCGTGTGATTGGTGGACAATGTCACCGATGAGTGCGTCCCTCACCATCACCATGCCGGGGCCCATTCGCGTCCCCGCGCCACCGTTCGCCGTTTGATCCACTTTAACTAAATACATCTCATTTCCATAAGCTGTGGCAAAACAGGCACCCACGACACCCCTGCACGACCGTAATGACCTGTCGGTACTCTAAACTCATCGTTCGTCTTCGCATTTCTGTATGCGAGGAATCCCAAAGGGTAGAGGGCAAGAAGGTGAGAAAGCACGTGATGGTGCAGCGTGTGCCACCCTGACTGTCATGCCCTATGCATATACTCTGTCTGTATGTTTCTACTCTGAGCGCACTTCATCACAATGGCGACGTCACCATTCCCCGATACTTCACACGCCCCTAAATGATCACACCACCTGTTTTGAGCGCATTTCTATCACGCGTGAGGCGCCATCAGTACTATTGTCACACGCCCCCGGATTCCACACCCTGTTGAATGTGGGTTCCTGTGAACGCATGGCTTCACACGGGCGACATCACACACCCGGATTCCCTGAGTGCACGTTGTCCAAGCCGTGACGAAAAATACCACCCCCGCTGCACAACACCAAAACCCGTGTGATTACGTTAACCCGTGTGTGACTGCACCCACGAATGAGCTTCGTTCCCAGCTCCGATTACTCTTCAATGCGACATTATCGAACCGGATTGAGCCCGAATTGAGCTGTGGATACCTGCGTCGACGAGGGCTGGACTGGACGAGTAGACCGTCGAAAAGGAACTAAATAACGACGGGGACAACAGCAGTAGCGTCCCCTACACGAAAAAGCAAAGCTTGGGAGTTGCAACGTTGCCGAGCACCCGACCCGCGCTGTGCAAAAGAGACCGCAATCCAGCACCCAGAAACGCGATACTGAGGCCGTTTTTTCTCTTGCTTCTAGTGATTTTTCGCACGAGCTCTATGAACACCCCTGCTGTGGATTCGGACTCGAACCACCAAGGTGTGTTGCGAGTTGACAAGAGACAGGAACTAGCTCCCCCACCGAGTGCTTTGGGCCGGAGGGTACAGGAGCACATCGGTGGGCCTCAGGCGCTCAGCTTGGAGTGCAGCACAACATTGACACAAGGTGGGAGGGTTATCACCCCCTTGGCTGGAGCTGGTGTGCATACTGTAGAAGGCGATGGCAAATGCGGGTGGAATGCGCTGCGTGCGGGTCTGCAAGTTTGCCTGGGTAGAGCAAGGACTCCCAANGAGTGCAGCACAACATTGACACAAGGTGGGAGGGTTATCACCCCCTTGGCTGGAGCTGGTGTGCATACTGTAGAAGGCGATGGCAAATGCGGGTGGAATGCGCTGCGTGCGGGTCTGCAAGTTTGCCTGGGTAGAGCAAGGACTCCCAACGAGCGGCAAATTCGAGCAGCAGTTGCCCGTAGAGCCCTGGAATATGTCATCGGCGCACCCGATGTCCCTGAGGACTCGACAGCGGTACTCTCAAGGGACCAACTTGGGTGGGCCCTGAGTGTGAAGGTACCGCATGTCTTAGGGGATGTCAAACACGGGATGACCGCGGAGGATAAGACGGTTAGGTGGTTTTGCGATCTAGCCTGGCAAAGTGCGGAGAAGTGGGTTGACGTTACCTGGATGTCCTTCCTGGCCTCAGAGTACGGGGTGAATATCATAGTTTGGGAGCCNAGCAAATTCGGGCAGCAGTTGCCCGTAGAGCCATGGGACATGTCATCGGCGCACCCGATGTCCCTGAGGACTCGACAGCGGTACTCTCAAAGCGCCAACTTGGGCGGGCCCTGAGTGTGAAGGTACCGCATGTTTTAGGGGATGTCGAACACGGGATGGCCGCGGAGGATAAGACGGTTAGGTGGTTTTGCGATCTAGCCTGGCAAAGTGCGGAGAAGTGGGTTGACGTTACCTGGATGTCCTTCCTGGCCTCAGAGTACGGGGTGAATATCATGGTGTGGGAGCCAAGCGCTAAGCACGGCACAGTCCAGGCTTACTTAGGAAACAACACGGCAGGCATGTTCTTGTTCGAGAAAGAAGACAAAATGGACGAGGAAGGAGATCACTGGGTGCATCTACTCTATCGAGAGCACGCGAATCCATGGCTAGCGCGTAATCAAAACCATAACCTCAACCACTTCGACCGTCTGCAGCTTGGACACGATGCAGCTGCTTCCTTCGTCGACGTCGTTGCATCAGCGAAGCTGCAATTGGGCACGGTGACGTTGATGCCGTCAGCGATTTACACAGCAGGCGGGGAGGCGGGAGGGTCCTCACTGGTGGGCGGAGAAGAAAAGGACCATCCCGATTTCAGCATGGGACCTCCCCCCCGCGGCAGCAACAGCAGTAGCAGCAGCAGCCAGAAGGAGGGGGTCAAGGCTGGAGCGGGAAAGAAAAAGAAGGGGGAGATCGGACCGAAGGTCGTGGTGAAGCGACCTACCGCGGGGCAGACAGCGGAGAACAAGAAGCTCAAGGGCAGGGGTGCATCAGGGAAGCACAAGGCCGGAGTTGCGCCAGGGAAGAAGCGCAAGGCGGTGGTTGCGCTGGGGAAGCGGAAAGCGGAGGTTGCACCAGGGGATGGGAGACGTGCCAAAAAAAATGGCAAAACTACACCGACCGGTGGGAGGAAATCCTCGAAGGCCAACGGCGAAGACGACAATGCCAACTATGATTCCGACGGCAGTATCGGGGGGAGGGACGTAGACCACACGCAAACCCCGGGCGCCTTCGCTACCATGTCGCAGAACCGGAAGAAGCTGGTCACGGCCATGAAGAAGATTCCGGAGCGGGGTTACAAGCGGGCGTTCTGGCTGACCAACAAGAGGAGGGAGCTGGGTATGAAGGTACGTTTGTGTTCGGGTGGCTCTTCTGTTAGCATTGTCCGCACAAACAGGCGGATCAAAGAGAAGACGATAGAGATGATACTAGTGTAAACTTGAGAGTAAAAAAATGAGTGCGCATCGCTAAATACTACTTGCACAGTTTTTCTTAATTTATTTTGGGATACCATATGGCGAGTACCCTATCCACAATGAACAAACGCAAACGCGTATCAAGGTATGCACTTCCGCTCGGCTCGTGTTGTCGCTTGCCTCGAAGAAAGTATCTTTACGCGTTGGTTTATTGACACCTCCCTGGTTGCTTGCATGATCGTTAGCATTTTTGAGGTTGACGCCTCCGTACCAGGCTGCTGTTGTTTAGCACGGGTGTGGTTCACATTGTTAGCAGCGGGCGATGAACGTCGAGTTCAGAGGTAGTATGTAAATGCACGTGCGTGGCCTGCCTACCCTGCCGGCCTATGTTGTTACCCCTTGCTCCTTGGTTTCGTCGGTGTTGGTGACACCGTAGCGTCGTGCGTCATTCTTTTTATGCCCATTGGACACAACACTCCGGGGGGTAAATTGACACACCTACCGCGTTGAATCCGCTGTCGACGCTGTTTGTCAATGACGTATTCAACACAGCTCAAGAAGATCGCCGACGAGGAGAAGGCGAGGCTCAAGAAGACGGAGGAGAGAAAAAAAAAAAAACAGCATCGACCACGCGAGGAGGTGGAGGAGGAGGAGCGGCGGGAGAGAGAGGAGCTAGAGAAGCAGCAGCAGCAGCAGGAGGAGGACGAGGAAGAGGACGAGGAGGTCGTATGGACGGACCGCGGCATTCCTGACTTTGCGGGGACAGACGACCACAAGAAAAGAACCCAGCGGGAGACGGTCAGCGCTGCCTCGCTGTCGGCGTCCGCGCGCGAGAAACTGCCCTCTCTCGATACGTTCATGGACAACCTCGACGAGTCCGGCAAGTTCCCGCTACATGGGTTGATGATGACGTGCTTCGATATGATGTTCCCGGACGAGGCGGTTGATCTTTTTGTTGACAAGGTGAGCATTGGTCACACTGCCCGACAGTAGATCCAATCGTATCATATATTCAAGCACGCAGGTATTGCCAGTGGTGACGCATACATCGAGCGATTGAAGAGCTCCAGTCAGTGTTGTGTATCTTGCTTGTAATTTGCAAGACACAATGGAAGCTCGCGTTAGGACTACCTTACTAAACCAGCTCCCCACCTCCCACGCGGGGCCCCCATTGAACAGTGGTACATACACCTTCGCAAAAAATAGCAAATTGTCGAAAATGGGTACTACGTAGGTGTGCAACAAGAGAGTTTGTTGTGCGGCCCTTTCAATGTTGTTGACGTTCCAAGACGCCTGCGGACAGAGTACGCAGATGAAGAAAAGGTGAATTGGACATGTTGGTCTGCCACGGCTTGGCCCAGGGACAACACCTCCTCGTGTATATTCTGCGCGTCGGCGCGACCTCTAGTGCGAATACCGTGCTGATCGTTTCGTTCCTTCGTCTTGTTGTTCCTTTTCTGTTCCGCGCGAAACGTGGTCTATTCGCAGACCAACAAGTACGTGAACCTTTGCACCACGCCACCACTCCCGGGAGCGAAGGACACGCGGAAAGCGCATCAGGTGAAGAAGACGAGAACTCTCGGCATGGTCACGCTGCCCGAACCCGCATTCGAGCGGAAGCACATCTACGGTATGCTTGGCATCACGATCACGATGGGGCTCACCATGAAAACGCGCATGAGGAAGCACTGGAGTAGGTCGCTACACGACGACTATCCTTTAGTGAGGAAGTGCATGTCGCGCGACTTGTTCGAGCTGTTGTACTCCCGTTTCATCCACTGCTCGGACGGCAACGCTCCTCCTCGTTGGACGGGCGNCATGAAAACGCGCATGAGGAAGCACTGGAGTAGGTCGCTACACGACGACTATCCTTTAGTGAGGAAGTGCATGTCGCGCGACTTGTTCGAGCTGTTGTACTCCCGTTTCATCCACTGCTCGGACGGCAACGCTCCTCCTCGTTGGACGGGCGAGGACAAGACCCCAAACCCAGAGTTCGATTCGAAGTGGCACATCAGGTTAGTTCAAATCCTCGTTGGACTTCAGGCCTTCTGAATGTAATTTGATTGATTTATTTTGCAAAAGTTGGTATGGTAGCAAGTTGTGGAGTTGCCGACGTCTCTACCCCTCCACTTGGAGTATTGGCACGTTCTTCGAGCTGTGGTACTGTATAAATGGGAACAGAAGGAACTCTAGAGAGTCGGCGGGGCTTACACTCGCGGGTGACAGAGAAGTACAACAGTCAAGTTTATGGGTTGGGGCTTAGGGTTAGAAATACTGAAAAGAGAGTTGGAGGTCAGCCGCACCGCGACGCAAGAACCCTTGGGTGACCCTACGAGATGCCACTGCCCTGTCGCGGGCTGCCCTTGTAGCGAATAGGTGGAGGTAGTTGTGGCGTCTACAAAAGTACACTTGCCTTTATTCCTGCACTTCCTCCCTCTCTCCCGCACTCACTCCCCCCTTTGACTTTTGTGTGGTGAAAAACAACATGTCGAAACGGAACCTGGGACTGGCAGACCGGCGAGAAACGTAGCTCCCAGACCCAAAAGGGTTCAGCATGTCGTGCAACAAAAAGTAGATATCATTGTCTTCCACCATCCGCCCCCCGCGTCGAATACTGGAGGCTGGCACCATCGTAAGGTTGGGACTATCATAGTAACGGATTCGCGTGGTTAGTGTGTAATTCACAGGGTGTACGTTCGCATGTCCATTGATGTCCCACACATTTTTCACACCATTGTAACTAGCGCAACACCTCCCTCCAAGAGGATTTCTGTCTTTGATTTCTTGACGTTGCTTCACCGGCAGAGAGCTGGAAGACATCTTGAACAATGCATGGACGGAAAACATGGACTTCAACGAGTGGCTATGCTACGATGAGCAGATGATGAGGACCGTGTCGACGTTCGCGCACTACCTCATGAGAGACAACCCCAAGGAGCCCATCACCCACGGTACGGGTTTCTTGTGTGGTGTCGTATAGGCTTTTCCTAGCGAGTCTGATCCTGTTTTTGTGCCGGATATCCGTTGGGAGGTTTCGGTGGATAGTGAGTTTTAAAGGTTGTTGTTGTTGTTTTTCACATATGCTCTATAGTCCACAAAAATGGGGAGCCCGTGGTCTCAAAACCCGGCACATGCGACGCCGCGGGAAAACAAAAGCAGGGTACAAACCACTCGGAACAGTGTCGAGACCTTGTATCATGTTCGGTTTTGAAGAACCTCATGTAGTGGGAATTGTGTGTTAGTTGACCCCGCCCCCCTTGCGTGGACAATGTACAACAAATACTTGGTAACTCCGAATTGTCTGGGGAGGGATGAATGGTAGTGGTGTTCACCAATGAAGAAACGACACAGACATACACACGCTCAGCAGTAAACCTCGCACTCCATCGTCCACACTCGCGACGTGTACATTCAGTGGCATTCAGATTGCATGGTCGGTCCCAGTGATGCCATTTTTAGCGGAACGTTGCGGCATCCCCTCGGGGATGCATGGGTCTCAAGTACGACCTCTGCGTCCGCTTGTTTTGTTCATCTCGGGGGATCTCGGGGGGGGGGGGGGGGGGGGGGGGGGGGGGTTNGCACTCCATCGTCCACACTCGCAACGTGTCCATTCAGTGGCATTCAGATTGCATGTTCCGTCCCAGTGATGCCATTTTTAGCGGAACATTGCGGCATCCCCTCGGGGATGCATAGGTCTCAAGTACGACCTCTGCATCTGCTTGTTTTCCTGGAGGGGGGGGGTTGATATCACAACACAGTAGTCGCCGGGGAACTCAAGGCCGCCCATGATGCCTGTAACTGAAGGCCACCCACGATGCCCTCGTTGCGTGCGTGTGGTGAATATTCCGTAGGTTACATGACATGTCACGCCCGTTGGGCCGATTTTCAACGCCCGTTTGTTCCACTGTGAAAGCAATTGCGTTGCCCAACAAGGAGGACACTGGAACCGTCTCGTCGATATCTGTCCGAAAGTCGATCGAGCTTGCATCCTCTCATTGGGTGCAAACGCTCAATTCACGCGTGCGCTATTGGCGCGCCGCCTTGACAATTTGTTCCATCGTCCTCCTCTGCTCATGTTGTTGAAAACCCAGGCATGAAGCTGTTCGCGATCTGCGACATCGAGGGGTATTGTTTCGTCAGCAGCGTCGACGGTGGAATGAACGGGGACCCGAAGCTGAGGGTTTGGTTTGACTGCCCACTGGGGCGGACCACTCGCCACGTCCTACATGTCCTACTCGGCGCCTGCAAGAAGTTCGGTGACAAGATCGACGGCTCTGGCGTGCACATCGCAATGAGCAACAACTTCACAAGCCCGACCCTATTCGAGTGCCTCGCGAGCCACGACATCTTCGCGGTGGGTACGTGCCGATCGAATCGAACGGGTGGTGCCGTGCCTTACTTGCAGAGCCTCGATCGCCGCCCCGTCGAGCGGGGAGAAATGCACTTTGCCCGCGCCGGCAATGTCGCATTCGTGCAGTGGCTAGACTCGAAGGAAATCATTCTGTGCAGCTCCATCCACATCGCCCAACCTCACGCCGCCATCGGGGAGCCCAAGAAGGAGGACGACGACGGCGGCGACGACCACTTCGCACCTCTACCGTACAGGTAACCTTGCATTTTCGTTGTTCCCCAGATTCATGTTGATCGCTGTGTTGTTATGTTGGGTGTCTCGCTCGTGTAGCCGTCGGTCAAACTGGTTCGTCGTGTGATGGAGTCCTCGGTTTAGTGCTCGACAAGATGCAGCGATTCGCGTTGGTGCCTTTCTTATTCGGTTCGTCATACACGTTGCTTCCACCGGTCGGGAAGGTACTCGGGGCTTGTGTATTGTTTGATTGACAGGGGCTGACGCCCTCTTTCCAGTGCGTGGTTCCTGCTGTGGATAGTGTGTTGCCTAACCCAGGTGCTTCGTCTGTATCCCGCCATCCCGTCCCCATCCGTTCATGTTCAGTCTGCGCAAAGCTGGTCAGGCTGGGAAAAGCTTGGAGCTACAGCAGCCGTGGATGCGCAAGGATTATGTTGCCAACATGGGGGGAGTAAACACGGCTGACCGGCAGAATGGGTCCCACACCCATGACCACGAGTCGTATACGAACCACTGGCGAGGAGTGATGGAGGGCAAGTTCAAGCAGACGTTCACCAACATTTTTGTGATGTTCAAAAAATACGTGTCCCTCTTGGAGGGTCAGGCCAACAAGAGGATCGAGGGAGGAGGCGTAGAGCTTGAGGTGGTGGAGAAGTTGGATAGGTTGTTGGTCGAACTGGGCAGGTTGGCGAAGATGGAGAGGGCGGTCTGGGACGAAATGTTGTCGACGGAGCTCATGGCGAGGTGCAATGTTGGTAGACCGAACAACGGGGGAAGACCGGCGGAGGTGACGGGTGCCCCGGACAAAGTGTGGGGGAGCATTTCGGTGAAGACTCAACGCAAATGCATGCACCCCGGATGCAAGAGTAAGACATGGAAAGGATGTGCCTGCGCGGAGCTTTGTGTTGGCAAACAGGCAGGGGACCGGGGTGTTTTGATGTGCCAGGCATGCTTCAACAACCCTGTGAGGCACGGTAGGGCCGGAGATGCTCAACGGAACCCCCAGAAGTACGGGGTGGTGGGACGCAAGGATCTCGTCTGGTGCTCGTGAGCGCATTTTTTTTCTTGGCCTAACGTTGTACGTTGAATGTGGCATGTGTTCCTGGCGGAGGAGACGTGGATGTGTTTCGAGGGTGCTCCGTTGTGATTTGCCTGGGGGTCAAACTGATCCTACAAGTGCATATCAGTGTCGTTCATCAACCATCTTCCCTTCCGCAAGGGATTTGTTGTGCCTTCATCGTCCACCTGTGTTTTCTTGAAAACAACGGTGGACGAGTGATAGTTTTTGTGCCTTCGTCGTTTACCTTTGTTGCTGATAACAGCAGTGGTATTGTGGTGTGACTTGTGTTTTGATGTTAGAACATTCGGTTGTTTCCCGACCTTTCTTCGGTTTTACCACGGCCCTACCACGTTGTGGTCAGACAACTGTCGTCCAGGCTATGGGTGATCGTTTCGAAATAACCAATCTTGTCGGGGTGTCCCCCTTTCCCCGTTGTTGAACGGACAAAGTTTAGGCCTCGTCGCGCCTGAAAGCGCTTGTTCCTTGGGGTCCTACGTATCTGCCGAGATATATGCAGCGGAGCGTTTGTTGTGGGGCACCTGTTGGGGGGTACTACTTTTCAATTGTGAACTTTATGTCCCCTGGCAGGCTTTAATTCAGTGTTGCCTGCTGTACTTTGATTTGTGTTGTTTGTTTACAGGGACANCATGTCGCCTGGCAGGCTTTCATTCAGTGTTGCCTGCTGTACTTTTATTTGTGTTGTCGNGGTGTCCCCCTTTCCCCGTTGTTGAACGGACGAACTTCAGGCCTCGTCGTGCGCCTGAAGCGCTTGTTTCTTGGGGTCCTACGTATCCGCCGAGATATATGCAGCGGAGAGTTTGTTGTGGGGCACCTGTTGGGAGGTACTACTTTTCAATTGTGAACTTCATGTCGCCTGGCAGGCTTTCATTCAGTGTTGCCTGCTGTACTTTTATTTGTGTTGTCGTTTGTTACAGAGACGTGTTTTGACTTCGACACGTATGTTTTTTTTGTCAACAACCTAACTACATGTCGGCCTTGGGTTGTCGCCGGTACCGGAGGTTTGGTTGACAGCCACGGTGGCCGTAGAGGCAAGAGTTTGTAAAATTGCAGATAGCATCGCAAGAGGTCTTTCGCATCTACGAGACGAGTACCTGACACGTTTCTTTTTCTGGCTGCTTGCGATTTTTCTTTCGCGCAACAACGTAACACACACGCCATAACGATGGTGTCGCAATACACCGATGGTGTCTCAATACACGAGTATTTCGGAGACCGCGAACGCCATCGAATCCATTAGTGCGATGGTGGTGTCTCAATACACAGGTATTGCGGAGACCGCGAGCGCCATCGAAACCCAATTGTGCGAATAAGACGCTCCCTCCACGCGAGAAGCCATGCGTAGGTAGAAGTTTTTTTTTCGTTGTCTTCGTTCCCACACCACGCTGACCTCGACATACACATGCTTACGCCCCCTACGGGTGTGACTTCAAAATGTGCCAATGCTCTTTGCCAATGCTATTTGTAGAATGCACCACCGCTACTCTCACCGACGCGTGCCTTGCCGGTACCATTCATCGAAATTAGCCCAGCGAACTCAACATGGAGACAAGACGCCCGGCAAACCACGCACAATCCTCGACGATCTGCTCGATCCGGAACCAACCAGCCATAAAAAAAAATCACGGCATGTACATGCATATCGGCGCGCAAATCTTCCAAATCATCGTGAGCAAGACGTCGTCCAGCACACACCCCATCCCTCACGCCCCATGAGCAGCCTATCGTACACCCTCAAATATCACGACAGGAAGGCGTCCGAAATGGCCGCTGGCACGGATTCATCCCCCGCCCACACCGCGCGGCACGCCTGCGTAAAGCAGTCATTTCTCGTGATCTGCACGCCACGACCCCTTGCATTCATCTGAATGCTCGTGTCGAACGAAGCCTGCACGTTGTGGACAAGAAAAAAAAGGAAGTCGGGTTGTCGGTAACAGAAGTGTACTCCAGATCTTTGGGGGAAAACGGAGAGCTAACGAATGATGGCATCGACAGCCTGTGAGAGACGGACGCGTACACGCAATGTGGACGTTCCTCCTTTCGGACTACATGGAGGATATTTTCGGTCCCTCGACAACGGCGTTACTCCTTCTGCCTTGTAAAGAGAAAACTTTGAAGACGGCGTGACTACGACGTACTCTCCCCGTTCCATGATACGGAAGATACAAATATGTACCCTATCTCTCGGCATGCCCCGGGGTATCGACGTGTTGGGCACCATATGTATGTGTTTCGACAGCATTGCTGGAGCATTCTGTTAGGGTTGGGGGTAGACTCGCCGACGTCGCTCATCCCTCTCTCCTTTTCACTTCGTGTGGCCATGACTTCGCTCTCGCAGCTGCGTTGATCCACGACATACCGCATTTCGTTGAAAATGACATACTTACATAGACTAGTCTGGACAAATGAAGCACTGCTCAACGCACGCATGTGTATCGCCGTCCTTGCATCCTACAGCAGCTGCCATGGGTACGCCTGCAACCGTCACAACATGCGGCATGTGTTGATTTCGAGCATGTACTGCTGCTTGTACCTGTAACAGCGAATGTTGCTTCCTCTTGTAGCAAGATGAGGAGACATATCTCGATATGCTACATAAAAAAGAGACTACAAGTATGGATAGACTAGACTTTGCATACATCTGTAAATAATGTATTTCTAGACTAGACTACATGTTGGACCGCACCAAGACACGAGCTACATGCATGAACGAGATTATTCCGATGTGTACATAATCCTCACATGAAAGACATGCTCCTGCTATCTATGCATACGTGTTGGGGCTAGAGGCAGACAACCAGGCAACTTACACTTATCGTGGGTGGTACTTTCGCGACTGACTTGATTCCATAGACGCTTCGTTGTGACCGCGCCTCCCGAGCTCCTCTCGGCTGCCCTGGCAAAGTCGACCGCCCCGATACAGCGAGAGTGATGGTACCCGCAGAGACCGGGGTGC